CAAAGAAACTGATTTCCAGGCCGTTTTAAAAACTCCATTCGGATCTTTAAAAATAGCAACTGCACAAGACCATGTCTGAGGTTCACTATAGCGCCAGGCAGAGCCATCTCCATATTTGTGTTAACCTCTGCACCCACAATTATGACAGAGCCTGTAACACAGTTAAACGATGGCAAAGCCACAGAAACTGTAGTTTAATCAGGAGTTTATAGAGCCAGTTTCTGCGGTGCCCATATCTGACACACTGCAAAGCATTTTCACAGTTCATAAGAATGACTTTGCCAAAAAGTGGTTGGCCTTAGGGTGTTATTTTCCTCTATAGCTTCGGTCTCGCTACCATGTGCCAATCCCGACAGCAGCTCTGCCATTTGTTACCATTATTAAAGTCATATTTCTCAGCTCGGTTCATAAATCGTACTTGAAATTGATGAGCGAGCTGCCTGCTCTCTCATTAGCAAGGGCTTTGCTGTGGCCGAGAGATGGCTGTTTGCTTAGGAAAATTCAGCATTCTTTGGCTGGAGCCAACCAATGTGAAATGAATGAAAATGAATCAGCATGTTGTGAGCAGTAAATGTTATTGCATTAGGCTTAAATGTATTCAATGATGTTGGTGGTTGTTTAACAGATTTCTTTTGTTGTTTTAAGTGACTTGCAGTACAAGTGCTGAACTGAAGGGCACAGTGGTGAAAGGGCAAGAAGTGTATCTTATTTAAAGTCACTCACTGGCCATCATTTTTATGTTCTTATATATATAATTACATGTATATAGATATATATGCCCTATGGTGTCTATGAGGAAACCAAACATGAGCAGGTTTGACTAACATACTGTATGAATCTGATAATTTTGTTCTGTACCGTATGCAATCCATGATATCCATATCACAGGGATTTCTTAACCAGTAATGTAACCTTGAATTTAAATGTATACATCCAACATATATGTCCATGCTAAACATATTACAATCAAGATGATACACAGATCACCAGACATTTATTTTAAGTCATGTCATTTTTTCCTCCAAACTATTCTCCTCCCAAAGAAAAATGAATAATAGTCTGTTGGCATTATCCCACAAGTTATTATACAAACCAAGCCTGAACCCCCAGTGGGGAAAAATGAGCTCAGCTTCAGAAGATCAAGAAGCAGGAAATACCTGCCGCTTCGTCCACTCTTTTTTTTTTTTTTTTTTTTGGTCCAGTTAGATTTAATGGCTCTCCTAGGCTCTCTCTATATTTTACCCTCTTATTTGTTTTCTTTCGCGTGATCGGCTCTCACGAGCCAAGCTGCAGTTCACCACAGAACAATCTGAAATGGAAGAGATTGTTCTTAACAACAAAAACATCTTCCCCCTCTTGCTGTGGAAACCAATAGTGAATCATGAACCTGAATGGCTTTGGTGGAAAACGGTTCGGGCAGGCTCAGTGTGCATGTGAGAGTTATTTTGGCTCATTATAATGTGATCTGAAAGGTTAGTGAATTGAAACCAGCATGAGGAATTATTCTTCCAAAGCCTGAGAGGAAAAGAAAATGCCTACAAGGTGATTATACAAGTTTTTCACAAAGAGCAAAACCAACAGATTACAAGAGACAGATTGTGTTATGTCACCCACTCCTTTGAATCAAATTGGGTGGGTTTACAATTAAACTTTGTACAACGACATTAAATTAGGTGCTAGCTGTAGCTAATTAGCTTGAGTTAGTTAATGGGCTTGCACACATAATTTCCTTCCCTTCTTTGGCATAATTGTGCTGGAAGACCCCTGTAAAGTAGTGAAATAGCAATGTTTTCCTCTCACTTAAACTGGGATACGGCACACAAAACAAGCTTCTGGCTTAGTTGTGGCAGAACTAACACATGTTACTAGTCAGGCTAGCTGAGGCTGCGCTAATTCGGAAAACAGGCATCGAATCTAAAGGCAACTATGTTTACTGTTTATGCCAGTGTGGTCAATTCTAATCCCCCGCACTGTAAAAGCCCCATCCAGTCACAAGGACAAATGTCTGACCTCAGCAACCAATCAACCACATCAGGCCAGGCCAAACAAGGTCACATGATCGTTGATGGGGCAGCCGTGGTTTGCGGCTGACGTTTTAAGGTGACTGTGGCCATAACTGCATTCTCCTCAATAGTACTAGTCTGACCGCATTGATGAACCAGACAGTTCTGAAGGAGTATGGTGCTGAACATCTGAACATCCATTTCAAAACCTAACCTTTTTGTCAGCCGAGACCTCTTAAACCTGAAATATTTACTTAAAATACCTCCTGAAAATAATATTTCAATAATTTAACAACACATGCATGTTCACCGTTCTTGGTAATGGTCACATGGCATGCCGATAAACATAAAAATATTTATTTTTTCCCCCACTGACCCTCAAATATGGAAAATATTCACTTTGAACGGCCTATCTATTTTCTTACTATTATGGTAAAGTTAGATGTATAAATCTTTACAAAAATATTTACAATGACTGTTAGTGGAAAATAATCACATTACGAAAAGTAAAGTAATAATATTGAATTTGCTAAACTTGAATACTGGATTATGAAATGGCGCCATCCAGAGTAAGAGTTATTGCCATGAAATCAAAATAGACAATTCTCAAGTCTAATTTTTATGCAATATTTGTTGTAAATGATTTATCCATGCACATCTTTTTCCCCCTTTAATTTATGTGCCCCTGTACTCTTTAATCAAAATCACTTCCTCTCTCTTGCAATAACATCTCTTCTCTTCTCTGATGACGTGTTTACTGGCCCGAGGGCGGCACAACCTGTCACTCACATGACATCACAGCAATAGCAAACCACAAAGATGGACCCTAAATTTTTTCCTATTCGAAAAACCATTTCACTCCAATATACGTCACAATAGGGACGAAAAAACGATTGCAACTGCCGTTTCATGCTGGCTTTAACAGTCACGTTTCCAAAGCATTCACCATTGGTCACCCAACCTGATAGCCCTGTTCCTTTGAGAGTGCCACAATGTTTGCTAATTTGTGTGGAGTCAACTCAGAATAGTTTCTGCATATTAAAACTGTGATACTAGAAGGCATTTGACATTTTAGGAATGATATTCCCTTTAAAACCTTCATATCGCTGTAATTTGTCAGAGTTTGAACAGTTTGGAGATCAAATTGATGTTATCAGCAGGACATGATATGGGTAGTCCATAATAAACTATTGAATATCAGCATGACCTATAAAAAGTAGGTGTAACTTAGCTCTGGCCTTTGAGCTGACATGTAGAATAAGCTCGAGAGTCCGCACCAGAAAACAAGCTGTGAATGTTTATGGTTGTACTCTGTCACTCTTCTGGCAGGAACCAGCCCCAAATCATCACAATCCTTCATAATGATTTAAAGGGAATATTTTGAGATTTTAAATACTTTTTTATTATTTTTTCTTTCCCTAACGCCAAACCATAATATGTCAATTGGTTGTATCAGATTGCACCCTGAGGACCAATTTTCTCGGTACCAAGCCTGTAGTTATTAAACTTTGGGGTTAAAGTCTAGTTATGAAAAGCATAAATTCTTATTAAATTTGATTAAAAGTAGATTTGAAGCAACTTGCATAAACTTTGACACCACAAATAAGCATTCATCTTTTTGAAAAATGAGAAATAATGAAATAAACCTGAATTTTGATGTGGTTGTCCACTGCCAGGTCTAGGCACAAGATCATTTGTCTATAATTACCTGTGTCAGTGCAACACTCCCAGTTGTCTGTCAATGTTATTTTTGACTCTCTGTGCCGGGAGCAGGGCTCAATTCAGCTCTAATATGACCAAATTTATTAATGTTATTTCTGTTAATACAGACCATTAGCTGCCAGACTGCCTGTGAGGGAAACGAGAAAGATTAGACTTGATAGCAGAAACTGCCAGGTACGCTAACCATTTCTGACGAATAGACATTTGGCTGCTATTTACAGAGAGATTTTTGAAAGAAATACGACTGCAGCCTGAGGGTGTTTGGAACCTTGAAAAATGTATTTGCAAAATCCCGTGAGTGCAAGGAATTTGCTTGGTAAAGAACCAGCGTAGATCACTCATAACAGAACAGGCGGCCTGCATTGCGTGCTGTGAGTGTTAGCGTTTTTTTCTTGACAAACCGTCTATTCATGGCGAAAAGGACCTGCTTGAATTTTTACACAGCACCGCTCAAGACATCTTTGTGAGGCTTACACGCTGAATATTTGAGGTGACTTGGTGATGCTCTTTATGCAGACACGTTCTGACAGATTTGGACAGAACCCAAGGCAGATACAAAAGAGTAGTCTGTCAAAACCAGGGATAATTCCCTTACTCTCTATGAAGACACCATCTGAGAACCATTTACCTAAACAGCGTGGTTTTTCATGGTTTGGGGAATACAATGAAGTTTTGAACTTGTTGACATTATTTATCCTTCTTTCTTTAAAAAAGAAGAGAATATTTGCTTTCAGAGACACCAAGAGCATGGAAATGATCTTATTTTCTGCAGTGTAAGCAAGACTCTCTAGTGCTATAAGTTGTTTAATATTTTGCTAATTTCACATGTAAAGATAATGAAGGCTTTGTCGTTTAAAGGAAATAAGTCTCCCATAATATAAGCATTTGGGAGATATCATGACATTTCTGAATGTGGTTCGGTGACTTAAATTTTATTGTTATGATATGTTGTAATGAAATGTCACTGTAATATATATATATATTATTTATTACTCAGAATGATTAACATTTCTGTACTCTAAATCACAAAAAAATACATAGACAAAAGCATTATGTTTTGTAAAAAATAAATAAATAATTAGTTTTTCTTTATTACAGTAAATATACAAAAATGGCAAGACAATTATATACACTTATCTGTTCCATTTCAACAAAAAATTAAATTATATTTTACAAAACCTTCACTAAAGATTTCTGTCAAAGCAAAAATAACATTTTTGGCATTTCTACATGATTTGAAATGGGTAAAAACGTATCATATGAGTAAACATAATATGAGTAGAAACTACACACAATGACAGCAGTCTGAAAATGGCAAAAGCTACTGGAAAAATAAAACTTTGATGTTCTGAAAAACAGATGTTCATTAACTGAAATTACTACACTCTGACATGTTAGTTGGTAAATGGGATAAAACATACTATGTATTTATAATATATAACTACTACTGTACCTAAGTGCATGTACAACACATCCATCTGAAAACACTCTCTGCTTCTATGTCTTTCATTTAGTGCATGGCGATCATCCATACAGGTACGATGGCCTCAGGAAAGCCTTCCTGCTTTTCAACGTCCAGTATGGAGAGGCCTGCTTTCTGAATGATGCTCTTCATGATGTCCAGGTGGCGAATGATGCTGCTGTCAATCGGGTCCAGCTTGCAGCCCTGCCGTGCCATGTTATCCTTAATGATAATCACACCATTGGGCCTCAAGCTCTCCTTAGCACTCATTAAAAATTCCATCAGGTCCTTATCAGTAAGATGACCTGAGAAATGTAAAATGGCTCATGAATTATGTAATTCTTGACAAAAACAGAGTGTGTAAATTTCAAATGTCCACAACAGACACTGTTCATGCAGCAACAGCAGTAGATTGTCCAGATTATTCTGTCCACTATAGGTACACCTTTTCAACTGCTTGTTATCGCAAATATTTAGTCAACCAATCACATGGCAGCAACTCAATGCATTTAGATGTGTAGACATGGTCAAGACGATCTGCTGAAGTTCAAACTGAGCATCAGAATGGGGAAGAAAGATGATTTAAGTGACTTTGAACGTGGCATTGTTGCTGGTGCCAGATGGGCTGGTCTGAGTATTTCAGAAATGGCTGATCCTCTGGGATTTTCACGCGCAACCATCTCTATAGCGTTTACAGAGAATGGTCTGAAAAAGAGGAAATATCAAGTGAGCGGCAGTTCTTTGGGCGAAAATACCTTGTTGATGCCAGAGGTCAGAGGAGAATGGCAAGACTGGTTCGAGTTGATAGAAAGGCAACAGTAACTCAAATAACCACTCGTTACAACGAGTTATGCAGAAGAGCATCTCTGAACGTACAACACGTTGAACATTGAAGCAGATGGACTACAGCAGCAGAAGAACACACCAGTGCCACTCCTGTCAGAACAACACGAAACTGAGGCTACAATTCCCATTGGCTTACCAAAATTGGACAATAAAAGACCGGAATAACATTGCCTGGTCTGATGAGTCTCGATTTCTGCTGTGACATTCAGATCGTAGGGTCAGAATTTGGTGTGAGCAACATGAAAGCATGGATCCTTCCTGCATTCTAACAATGGTTCAGGTGGTGTGAGGGATATTTTCTTGGCAAAATTTGGGCCCCTTATTACCAATTGAGCAACGTTTAAATGCCACGAGTTAAATGAGTATTGTTGCTGACCATCTCCATCCCTTTATGACCACAGTGTACACATCTTCTGATGGCTACTTCCAGCAGGATAACACTCCATGTCACAAAGCTCAAATCATCTCAAACTGGTTTCTCGAACAATGAGTTCACTAAACTCACATGGCCTTCACAGTCACGAGATCTCAATCCAATAGAGCACCTTTGGGATGTGGTGGAACGGGAGATTTAGATTATGAATGTGCAGCCGACAAATCTGCAGCAACTGCTTGACGCTATCATGTCAATATGGACCAAAATCTCTGAGGAATGTTTTCAGCACCTTGTTGATTCTATGCCATGAAGAATTAAGGCAGTTCTGAAGGCAAAAGGGCGTCCAACCAGGTACTAGCAAGGTGTACCTAATAAAGTAGCCAGTGAGTGTATATGCCACACCTCTCTCTCTAAAAAAAAAAAAATCTGGACAATATACTGGTGTTGCTTATATATAATTAATTAATTTATTACTTTTTCTTTTTGAATGGCCATTTGAGTCATATGCTTAATCATTAGGCTACAGTTCCTGGTATATAATAATTGTTGATTGTGAGTTGCTTCAGTTAGGTCTTAAAAAAAATCTGTCACCACAAGGAGTTCATGTACTATCTCAAGTCTTTATATGGTTTTAAGCAGTTTCATATAGATATCTCTGTCACCGGTGTCAAATATACACACAGGCTGCAGTCAGGGAGATGAAACTGTATACTGCAACAAAAGACCCTGACCAGCATACAGCTGCTCACATTACAGAAAATGGAAATGGATAGCCTGCAACTACTAAAATAAGATGTAGGGAGGCAGAAAAAAAGGTCAAATTAAAGGAGTCAATGCAGGTAACTTATTACTGCAAAATATACAGCATGATATAACAAATGAATGGTCACAAGCAACCCACTCACAGGTAACCCACTGCATCCAGATGACATCGTATCTGTTTGAAGCTGGGGTGAATTCCTGCAGATTGTAAAGGTAGTAGGCCTCCACCCGGTCTGCGTAATCTCCGAGGTAACACTCATGAGCGTGGAGGATGAAATCTTCCATCATGTCAAGCATCTCCATGGATTCAAACACAGGAAACAGAACTCCTTTAGAAACTCTCCCGATTCCACAGCCACAGTCTAGTGCTCGCTTGGTGCCAGCCTTTCCTGGACCCTAAAGGGACCATTAAAAACCCCCAAAACATTTTACTTTTTGATGTTCAATAATAATAATGAGTGCTATAACACAAGAAATTAAAGAAATCTAAAGACTTCAAGTCCAGGTTCATGGTCAAAGTTTTAGCACAACAGCTGAACACTATTTATTAAGCTAATGCTATTTGTCAACTTGGATGTGTTAGTTAACCACATGTTCAAAAAGTAAAGGTGTGTGCTCTTTTGATCTTTATGTCATCTAAAGAGTATGTGTGAGCACACTACAAAGGCAATATGCAATTGAAAAGAATTGCCTGCTGTCATAAAAACTGATCAGTTGACTTAACTTAAAAAAAAGTGAGAAACACATTGCCTTAAAATTATTAAGTAAATAAACCCCATACGTAATTTAAAAAAATTGTGTAATTGTCAAGTTCACGTAACTTACATTTTTTCAGTACGCATCAAGTTTATTTACTTAATAATTTAAAGGCAATGTGTTTCTCACTTTTTTTTTAAGTTAAGTCAACTGATCAGTTTTTATGGTGTAGGCTGTGTCTGATATTTATAAATTGATGTACTACATTCAACTGATTAACAGATTTTTTACTTTTAGACACAAAAACAATAGACTTGAACCAGGAATGACTAGTACATTTCACAAGTAATTACAAAGAAATGGCAAGTAATATTATGGCATTTTGAGTAGGAAAACGGAAAAGGTTTCTTGTACTCCAATTATCCTTGTTTTACTTATACTTACAACAAATATTTTTTAACAGTGTATTTCAGTATTTTTCTTGTATATACAGCCACTATTAAGTACACTGAATAATAAACATTCAGTATCAATAAGAAAGGCAAAATTTCATACAACAAATTTCTTCAGGAACTGTCTTGAGCCTTCAAGGTCAATCTCAGATATCTCCAAAAAATCTCCCATCATGCCCTCTTCTGACGCCGGGACGTCCTTGTAGAAGTTCTGTGCCCTGTAGTAAAACTGCTTCTCCCCTTTAATGTACTCACAAGTCACTGCATAGAGTTTCACTGTAAGGCAACAAACGTCACTTAGTAAAAAATGCACAATTCTCAGTTTATTGTGAGAATTTTTAACATTTACAAGCTAGAGAGAAAAATGAGGCATTCATTAAGTTAGTCGAAATTGAATATAATTATAGTAATATTCAATACTATTATAATATTGACATTTAAAGGTCATCTGTGCATGGGGTCAAAGCATCTCAAGGGAAAGTGTACAGTTATGAAAAGAAGTTTCAATGCAGTTGTGTCTTCTCATTCACTTCTCACAACACCATTTAGTCATAATTAGTTCTTTGAAAGGGGTTATTAATAAGAATGTTTTCATTCAGTTTATGGTGTAACATCGGAAATTCCAAGTTGCCTGTATTGATACTGTTGATATTGACAGTGTTGTTACACACAAGGAATGCTTTGTCGTGGGCACATTTAGGTTTAGATGGTTTGAAGCAATTCAACATGCAAAACTCTGTCAGCATCAGTCTAATGCCACATTATTAAGTTCAGCTGGAACATCTGCTCCCTCAAATGGCTGGTCTTAAAGGACAGACCAGTCATTAAGTCCATACATGCTCGGAAAGTTCGAGTCAAACATCAAATCACCAGATGATTAGCGGGAAGAACTTGCTGAAGTGCTATAAGTGAGAGAACTGGCAGAGTGAATGGATTGTGATCCTGAATTTGTGAGCAGGCCAGAGTTTGTCATGTGAATCACAAGTATAGTAGTCCAAGGTCGAAAATAGTAACACTGGGCAATGTTTCCTTGTGGACTATTTTATTTTGGTCCTGTATATTTTTTCTTGGTCCTCTATATTTACCTTAATCTGCTTTGCGTTATTGGTCAAGAGGCAACAAAACAACCCGCTAATTTCAGCTATAAAGTCCAAAACAGACAATAATACTCATTTTTCTTTTAAGCTCTCACAAAATACTTTCTGAGTTCCTTTTAACAGGTCCTTTAAAAGTATGAATGACTGTCTTTCCTTTTGGTCAAAAAGCTGATCTCATATGTACTATATGGATCTCATATGGAATAATTTCCACTTGCATTAATGCAGCTTTGCTGAATCTTGGCAGGGATTTATAGGTCCCATTATGCTTTGCATGGGCCAGGTAAAACAAACATTGAATAATTGTTATTTTAAGTTTCTTTCTTTATGCTTATTAAAACAATGCAAATGGTTTTTAAAAAAAGTTACTTTTAGCATGATAACAGCAAGATCAATTGTTAGCTATTTTCCTAGGAGATTCATTTGGGTTACTGTTTTATACCGTTCAAAGTATAAGTTTTAAATAAAAAAAAACTATTTCAAATATTTTGAACTTGAACCATGTTTATTTTTACCTCAAATATCCCATTGTTCCTTTACATGTAATTTAATATCAACTGTCAAGTATATTTGAGGGTTTATCTGAAGATTACTTTACCTGTGTGGTCATTCATTTATTAACCTGCGCTGTCTCATATATCTGTTTTCATAACTTAAAAGTAGCTCATCAGTAACGATACAAATAATGGATGTGTCTGTTGAAAGAAATCTGGCCTCTCAATCCAACCAACAACTCACAGTAACACTGACAGACTGGATTACGTGTTTCCACAGTTTACACTATACCCACCTGAATAAATAAATATGTGAACCAGAAAACACAAGCTCACATTCTTCAGACAAGGACTACTGTCAACAACACAACAAAACAAAATTGTTTATGAACTCCAAATCATTGTATAATATTCACGGTTGCTTAAAGGCGAACATTTGTTTTTCTTAATGTTTCAACAACCTTAAAGGGATAGTTCACCCCAAAATTAAAATTCTGTCATCATTTACTCACCCTCAAGTTGTTCAAAAACTGTATGAATTTCTTTGTTCTACAGAACACAAAAGAAGATATTTTGAAGAATGTTTGTAACCAAACAGTTGTGGAGCACCATTGACATCCATAGTATGGAAAACAATACTGGGCCCATTGACTTTTTGGTTACCTATACTCTTTAAAACATCTTATTTTGTGTTTAACAGAAGAAAGGAACTCAAACCGGTTTGGAACAAATTGAGGATGAGTAAATGATGACAGAATTTATTATTTTTGGGTGATCTATCCCACTACACTTAACCACCATCTCCAAAGCCTCCAAAGACAGCAAAGTCAGCTGTCATTGCTGCTAACACATCAAGTTATATACAGTGGAATGTAAAGAATGCAGCATGCATACACGTTTATGAAATTATGCTTAAAATAGTAACATGGATCTGTACATTGATTGCATGAATGAACATATGTAGGCCTATACAGTGAATATCGGTTGAATATTGAGGTTTAGCTGTTTACCAGTATCTGCTCAAATTATCATCACAAATATGTAAATGTCATTTTGATAGAGACATGCCAGTAACATAAATATTAATAGATGCAGATTGAAAAATCTTTGTACAGTGCGGCTCATAATTCACACAAAAAATTCGGTAGCACTTAATTTTACACCCATGTTCTGCATGTCATTAGTTATTAAAGCAATTACAATAACTAACCCTGATCCTATCCCTTAACCTAACCCATGTTACCTTATATTACCAGTACTTTCTTGGGTAACTTTACTGTAAGTACACGTACTGTAAAATAAAGTGCAACCAAAATTTCTTACCCAGAGGAATCTTCTCCAGGAGGTACAGGTAGCTGGCGAAGAACTCCCTCCTCAGAGTATTGTGCAAGTGGAAAGACATACTGTGTTTGCACATCTCATCATCTGTCTTCGCCCAGCGGTCTCGAAAGGCTTGATGTGTCCCGCTAAACTCCCCGATGGAGGTGGAATCAGACATTCTGAATCTTCTGCAAAGTGACTCAAAGTGTATGTGGTAACGTGCGACTCAATTGGTCTCTGGAAGAAATGCTGAAGACACCCCGGTGCTGCTATATTAGTAGGAAACCTCTGACAGAGGAGCTGTAACTGACCAGTTAAGCGTTCTTTTCTCAGCAGAGTGCTTAAAACTACCACCTCTTATCAGATCACCTGCTTTAGGCCTGGGGTGGATGAATGAGAAAGGGACTGGTAAGATTGCGTCAGAATAGGGGTGGTGCCTTCTCCAGTTCTCGAAGAAGGTCCTTCTCCTAAGCTCCACAGACACATCTAGAATGACAAATCAGTGCATACCAACACATGACCCAGAAGGTTGTGCATTCATTCACAGCTAGTGACAAGTGGCTTATGTAGTAGCTATTCTTAGCACCGCCTTCTCATGTTTGTATACACAGTATTGCTGACAAGTTTAAGGTTGTGAGGAAAGATCAAAGACATCTAATCTGAACATGCTGTTGCTGCTTACAATCTGTATATGCATTGACATTGTCACCATATTGTATGTTACAATAGCAACATACAACTGAGAAAATGCAATGTTTTTTAGTTATACATGCAAATCATATGAGAAAGCAGAGAGAGAGAGATGGAGAGGAGAGAGAAAAAATATAAATAAGATATCAGGCCTCTCATGTTTAGTCATGCATGTCAGCTCATTAGCCGTGTTACTCATATGATTACAGTTTGAAATTTGGATAAATTGCCTAATCATCATCACCTTAGCGTACGATATTCAGTGAACCAAACCTGAATCAGTGCTTAAATTGGAAAAACTTACTCAATGCAATTAGAGAACACTGTTTATAGATAATGTTGATCCTACAAAGTCAGACCACCAAACCCGAACCAACATTGTCATAATTAGTTTGACTGCTTTTTAAGATTAGTATTGTAATTAAAATTTACAGATCCAAATATTTAAAGTGTAATAAAATAAACACTTAAATGTGTATCATGGATTTTTTTCTTTCTACTGAGAGGTAAGCCTATAGAGACAAAAAAGCCCAAAAATTTCTAAATTGAACATTCCATGAAAAAACAATGTGGTGTCCTGCCTTAACTTGCTTTTTAGCAAGATATTTGTTAGTCCAGCAAATTGTATAAAAATGAGGTTGGTGGTAAAAAAGTATTTCTCTTTCTCTTTCTATACTTTGGACAAGCTAATCTGGTATAGAGGGTAAGTGAGTTACTCACTTCCAATTGTAAATGGTATGATAATTAAAACTGTGAGCTTCGAATTAATACATTCAGCCAGACATAATTTTTTTTTAAAAATCCACCAAAAGTCTAGAAGGCACATGTAGCCTATTTCAACGGATCGACACATACCTCCACATATACAGGTGGCGCTAGAGCTTCTTTTGTCTATTTCTACTTCATCGCTCTTTTACGAAGAGTACACACCCATAGCAACACAAACATCAGCATCCTGTCAGAGCTGAAACGATGAAGCAGTCCAGACATTAGACACGCCAAAGATCTGACAGAAATCAACACAACAGGTCTATTTAATTTAATATACGGGCAGCAATGCAAGCGGACGACGCCAGATATTTAAAACGGTGAGTGTTTGTGTGATGTGCTCGCGAGCTCTATCTTGTTACACTCATTAGCTGATACGAGCTTGAGTTTAACACACCATTATGTGCGTGTAAATGTTGTTTTCTAAAATGTAACATGGATTTTTGCTGTGTATATACAGCTGTTAGGCTGTTCTTTCACATTATGGTCTGAGACGAATTTTTATGTTCATAGTAATAGTGAAAATCTTCATCTCTGCCATCATATCACTAGCTTAGCTTTATTAAATAAATAAAATACATTATAAACACATTAAATAAATAAGTAAATAGATAAAATGTACTGTTGTGGCACCATGATGGTACAGTCCAAGGTACTGTGAAGAATTTTGAACATATCTGGAAAAACATAACAAAACCATGAGTGTTTTTACCTAAATATTGTGGTAATATTGTTAGCATAATAAGCTTTGTGTATAGAGCATCTTTCACCAGTAACTCAATGTGCTTTACAAACAAGTTGGAAAAAATACATAAGATAATAAATATTCTGTAATGTTTTGTGTTCAGGAAATATAAGGGTGGCAGTTTAGATGTCCACCCCACAGAAAAAGCCCTCGTTGTCCAGTATGAAGTGGAAGCCACGATCCTGGGCGAGATGGGAGACCCAATGCTAGGAGAACGCAAAGAGTGCCAGAAGATGTAAGATTATTCACGTATATGAAGTGCAGTGCTTGTGATAGTAGGCAAAACCATTGTGTTTATAACAGTTGGAAAATTTCATAATATTTATTTGCAATGTTTACCTCCTTTTGCAGAATCCGTCTGAAAAGCCTGAATACCAGCACAGACATTGCGTCTTTAGCACGGAAGGTAGTGGAGGAATGTAGACTCATTTCCCCTTCCAGACTTCCGGAGGTGGAACAGTTATTGTTCTACCTGCAGAACCGCAAGAAATCTGCCGGTAAGAGATGAAGAATTGGGTAAAAATATTATAAATATTGCTTTAGTGCTTTAGATACTGATTCTTTATTATTATTATTTTTTTGTTTACTCAGAAAAGAAAGAGAAACAGATCAAGCCAAGAGACCTGACTCCTTTTGAAGGCATGGAGGTATAGCTGTGTCACTCCTGTTATCTTAGCGCTTATTCGTGTTTCTTTTTTTAATATACATTTTGGTTGAAGACTCATTTTTGACTCAATTAATGCCTTATCTTACATGTTGTGTCTTGTAGCTGGATGAGGAGGCCAACATTAATAGCATAGATGACTATGTTGAGCTCCTGTATGAGGACATCCCTGAGAAGATCAGAGGAGCTACACTCATCCTCCACCTGGCCCGGAATCCTGACAACCTGGAGGAGTTGCTGCAGAATGGTGCGACACGCACTGGAATGAGTCATTTTTACACATTTTCGGATTTTATCTTTAAACCTTCCACTAAAGCCATACTTTTAGTGTTCACTTCAAATGCATTCATATTACCATATAGTTATACAATTTTCCAGTGCCTTTGAACAAAGGTTTGATCTAATTTAAGACTGTATCATTAATGGATAGTTCACCCAAAAGGAAAATTCTGTCATCATTAACCCAGCCTCATGTTGTTCTTAACCATTATGATTTACCAAATAAGCATATTAGAATGATTCCTGAAGGATTACTTGACTCTTAAGTAATGGCTGCTGAAAATTCATCACAGGAATAAACTACATTTTAAAATGTATTAAAATAGAAAACAGTTATTGTAACAATATTTCAGAATATTACTGTTTTTACTGCATTTTTTAATAATTAAATGCAGCCTTGGTGAACATTAGAGACTTATTTCAAAACCATTAAAAAAATATTACTGACCCCAAATCTTTGAACGGTAGTGTACATTTTGTACAATATATTATTTCACACTATTTCACACTGAAATTATTTTACACTGGTAGTTCACCCAAAAATGAAAATGTTGTCATCATTTACACACCCTCATGTTTTTCCCAAACCTGTATGAATTTCTTTCCTCTGTTGAACACAAAATAAGATAGTTTGAAGAATATGGGTAACTAAACAATTTCTGGGCCCTATTGACTTCCATAGTAGGAATAAAAATATTATGGAAGTGAATGGTGCCCCACAACTGTTTGGTTACAGACATTCTTCAAAATATCTTCTTTGTGTTCAACAGAGGAAAGAAATTTATACAGGTTTGGAACAACATGAGGGTGAGTAAATGATGACAGAATTTTTTTGGATGAACTATCCCTTTAATAGGGGTAGAAACAGGGTCTATTTGTAAAAAAGTAAGTCTTTGCCATCTCCACTCTCTCATGTGTCCAATTTCTTAAACCCTTTTGGTCTCTGTAACTTTATCCATTTTGCAGTACTACAGCCTGTTTTCCGTCACTTTCCTCTAACTATTTGCCCTTTAGCATCTACCATAAGGGCCTTTGAGTTTACCAAGTAATGCATTTTTTTCCTTCACAAGTGTGATCTTTCTTTTCCCATCAGTCCTTACGGATCATAACATACTCTCCATATTCAAAAGCAGTCACATATTTCAAGCTGTTGTCACTTTGTATTCACAACATGAGTTATTTTCATGAGCAATGAAAGCATTTAGTGTTTTGTCTGCTCTCCCACAGAGACAGCTCTGGGCGCACTGGCCCGGGTCCTGAGGGAAGACTGGAAGCAGAGTGTTGATTTGGCAACCACCATCATCTATGTCTTCTTCTGCTTCTCCAGGTACACGAGCTACACTCTAGCCAAGACTCACTATTCAGTTTGATGGGTGTTGTGCACAGAGCTGAGATACAACAATGGCAATGTGCCATGAGGAGAACATATTTTCTTTCTTGAGAATCATAATACTAAATACTCTTATCATAATATGACACATCAGCTGCTGTCAGAACTAATTTGAAAAGCGAGACTGTTGGTAAATGTGAAAGCTGGAATCGTTCATGAATCTCTGCCCTTCCGTTGTTATTTTGCTGAAGTCTGCACCGGTTTGGTTAACATTCATCATACTCTCGGTGAGCGACCGTGTTTGACATGGGTTGATGCTTTATTTTGGCATGGTTGGATACATGGTGAAGGTTAGACAAACAAGCTTTTTTATCTCCAGTTTCTCCCAGTTCCACGGCCTGATCACTCACTACAAGATCGGTGCGCTGTGCATGAGCATAATCGAGCACGAGCTGAAGCGCTATGACCTATGGCAGGATGAACTGCTGAAGAAAAAGAAGACTGATATCCTTTCAGTGTGTGTGTGTGTGTGAGGGGGGGGGGATCATAGGTGAAAGGGCGACTGGATGTCAGAGAAAGGGCAAAGGTAAAGTCAAGCCAAGGGTCAGGGGGCATGGGTGTTATGTTTTAATTAAAATGTTGCCCTTTAATTACTGCTCTGAACAAAAGGGTTTAATAGAAAAGGTCCTTGACTTTTTGAACGGGACGATGACCCGGACAATCAGAACCTGAAGAAGGAGTACGAGAAAGCCCTGAAGAAGTACCATGGACTGCTGACCAAACAGGAACAGCTTTTGAGAGGTAGAAGACATTATTACCCACATATCCAAAAATAACAAGGCTTTTGCTTCTTAAAGAAGTGTTTTGTCTAGACAGGCTCAGATTGTTATGGCTGATGTTATAAATATGTACTCTTCTATACAATATTAAAAATCTGTGTTTTTATAGGTGATGTGTGTAATTTTCAGACTAATGGAAGACAAGGGGAGTGTTGAGGAAATCATTTTGGAAATATTT